CCCCTGAGGGAAAGCCCCCCGCAAGATCGCCCGCTGCCAGACAGTCCAGTTTCTCCCCGCATGAGTCCTGGGTCCCCAGAGACTTCCCGGAACCAGAGTTCAGAGCCGTCAGGAGCTTGTGACTCCCTCCGGATTCAAAAAGACAGCCGCGTCCTCAGGTGCCAGCCCCTTTCCGCGCGCGCGAGCCCCCTACCTCTGCGCTTCTCTTGCTCTCAGTGTGCTTTTTTTTCCTTCTAGTTGTAGAATTTACAGTCAGCCAGGCTTCCTGTGGTTCTGGATGATGTCCGAATTGTTTTTCTAAGGTATTAATCAATTGTTGTGAGCAGCATCAACTTCCCGGTGTTTATCTCTGCCGCCATCTTAGTTTCTCTCACCTCAAAGGTGGATTTTTTATATGGCACTTTTGTAAATCCGATAATCCAAACCTATACCTTAGTAAGTTAAAGTGCTAAAATTATAACAATTTATATAGAATTCCTAAGCTTTTAACTTGTGATAAGTCTACATAGTAAATAAGCTGCAACTGCTGCAGAGAGACCCAGCTATGAAATAAAAGTTGAACCCACAGGCAGCTCAATGGAGAAAAGAGGGTGTGGTGCAGCAGGAAAAGAAGGCAAAGTATACATCTTATAAGGAAGGATAGTGTTTTGACTTTACTTACTATCTTATATTAGCCGGTCACACTGCACACCCTTACAGTCTAATCCCAATGGGAAAAATAAAGATATTGGCATCTTAAACTAGTGGATTAAACAGCCTCCAGAAATGCTCCTTTATGTAGTCTCATGGTGACACACAGGAGAAAATAAGGAGACCTTGGATGTCACCTGTAAGGAAGGATAGTGTTTTGACTTTACTTACTATCTTATATTAGCCGGTCACACTGCACACCCTTACAGTCTAATCCCAATGGGAAAAATAAAGATATTGGCATCTTAAACTAGTGGATTAAACAGCCTCCAGAAATGCTCCTTTATGTAGTCTCATGGTGACACACAGGAGAAAATAAGGAGACCTTGGATGTCACCTGGAAAGATATCTAATCTTTCCTCACCTGCAAAGAAAGGAGTTTCTCAAAAACAAAAGAGATAAAGACAATATTAAGGCTTGCTCTAAGAGTTAGAAAGGTGTTTAGACTATAATTTAACAGAAAGAGAATATCCATATCACTTCAGCAAATGTTAAATCTCTCCATTAATAGGGCTGTTAATACAGCCCACCAGCTGCCTTCTAGTAACAATGCAGTATGCACCTCAGCTGCCTCACAGAGCTTCTATTATAATCTTCTCTTTGAAGTATCTCCTACATACATTGCGCCCCCCAAGTCTCCCACTAAAATTAAGGACCGATGAAAGAGAAAACAGTAATTCTTTCAAGTCAAACTGTTAATGTCATCAAATACTGTGAATCAAACTCTATTTTTTAAAAAGCTTAGCAAAGAAAAAAGTCATAATAAACCGAGTATATTACCAGCTCTGAAACAACAAGGTACTATGGGCCATACAACCATTAATACTATCATGAAGAAAAAACTTAAACATACCCCATTCTAGAAATTGTGGAACACTGTTCAAAGGTCAGAGAGCTGATTTTGAATGGTGTCAGCGACCAAGGAGGTCTCTGCATGGTTTCCTTCATGCACGTGCAGGAAGAGAAGCTGTCCCTAACAATGCTTAAAAAGAAGGTGGTACAGTAAAAAGATTCCCTCCAGAGCTAGGCAGCCTGCAGCCTGGGTGCTAACGGACAAGTAACTTGGCATCTCATGTCTCGGTTCAGCCACAGAAAGAACAGAATACTTTCATCCTAAATTATTCCATAAGG